TGTTAATGAATGGTGTTATATTATACCTAAATAATTTATACTGAACCCCGTTTTATATTTTCTAACGCTATTGTGATGAAGAGTTCAGAAATAATCCGAATTAGGGGGTACATGCCTCAGGGCGACACGCAAGTGGCGGTGAACGGTGGAATTGAGCTTCTGAGCAAGTTCTTCAACAGTTACAGCAGGATCTTCATCGAGTGTAGCCACCAGCAGTTCATCATCACACTCAATAGGTCGGCCTGAACGTGCATCATCAGTTAAGCTGTAGTCACCAGACCTGAACTTCTGGAACCACCTTTGGCATTTCCTCGAATTCAGAGCTATCCTCACCATAAACATCTCGAATGTTTTTCGTGGCTGCAGTCGCGTTATTCCCTTTCTTAAATTCATAAAGCATTATATGCCTAATGTGTTCTTCTGACACCTCCATCTTGTCTTTAGTGTCCAAGAAAAACGGAGCACAGTTACCTCGTGAAAACCTGCACATATATTGACGACTACCCCCTGCACAAGTTAGCATAGAAATATTCTATGGGATGTTCGCAGATACATGTATAAAGAAGGCACAAGTGAGGCTATGCCAGAAAAACGACATTACTTATGGGATGACCTGATATGGCTCTGGATGCTAAAATTAGGGCTGTTACAATGATCTGAAAACATCTATGACAGCGAATTCTATACACTGGATGTGACCAAAAAAAATATAGCACTCTTCAAAATTTTGCATCACTTTTGAAACAGCAACTAGATCAACCAAGCTTCTTTCATAGACAGTTCTATCCATCCTCTGAGCATCTGAAAATTTTTGTCCATTTATCTCTAGCTGTTGACGAGTGATTTTAGAAAAGCAACTGGAGCTCAATTTTTGTATTCCCACCTGGATGTTGACAGGAGGACCTACCCCACTCATAAGGAATGGCAATTCTTTTCAAAGGGTTTTTCCTCTACACTTCCAAATCTGCTAAGCAGATCTTTGACTCATCCTTACACCTCTCAATTTGTGAATTTTGTTTCCTAGGATTATCATCTTGTGAAACATTGACTTTTCCACTGATACATTTCCTTGTGCAAAAAAAAAATCAGAGCAGACTTCACTTTTTTTTACTCCTCTGCAAAAATAAATGGAGAATGGCTGGAGAAAAATGAAGAGGAATTTAAGGGTGTTAAAAGGATATGTACACTCTGTCCGAAAAAAATTTGGACCTTTTTTCAATTTTTAGCCATTTGTAATTGGTTCAGAATATCACTATGCGCTTTTGAGGACAGACTAAGACATCAAATGAGCACATGCCTACAAAGTTATAACAATATTCATTTGCTAGTTCCTGAAATACAGGAGATTATTCAGAGCATACCAGCAGTAAGGGAGTGCAGCCAGAACTGTATGGGTGCATTATTCAAAATTCATTATTGTGCCTCATATAGGATGACTGACATGATGTGCAAGACCAAGATAACCTCAATAATTTTTACTTTTTGACACTCTGATGATGTGCTAGAAATGCACCATGTCAGTCAGTGAACAGTCATGTGACATTGATCGAAACCCAAACGTTGCAAGGTTCACATTCTCCTGTGATGTGGGACCAGTGTGTTTCCACTCTGGCTGGCTGTGCTCATGCTGAGTGCAGCCGGCAGAAATGGTTTGATGCAACCTGGCTTAAAATAAGCTGCTGCATCTCCGAAGTGAATCAATGGATTTTGGTATAACTTTGCAAGCATGTGCTCATTTGATGTCTTAGTGAGCCCTCAAAAGCACATATTGATAGTCTGAACCAATAACAAGAAGCTACAAATTGAAAAAGGATCCAACATTTTTGGGGACAGAGTCTAGAAGTCATTGCATAAAATTTTTTGCAGCGATATCTGTAATCTCCTGAACTCCAGAGAATCTCAAAGCGTGACAACATTTTTTTGCCTCACATGGTATACAAGGATGGGGAAGAAAGACCAATGATTTTGAACCAAAATATCTCTGCTCACACTGGAGTTTTTACAAAACTTTCATGTGTATGTTGTAGGGATTTGTGGAATTCAGGGAGATTTTGAATCTCTTTGGGGAGAGACTGAATTTTGCTAAATCCTTTCAAAGTCATGCCCATGTCTCTACACAGAGGGAGATTCCATATCTCCCTGGCTGGAAAATTGCCCTTCCCACTGCTTGTCCTGCTAAAGGCAATTTTCCTTTTAATTGTGCTGACAGATTGTTCCAGGCTGAAGAGTGTTGTGTTAGCTATCAGCAAGAATGCTGCACCTACTTCTGGTTGCCATTAATGAAGAAAGAAAAGTTTGGAAGACAGTGTTGCATCAATGAAGGGAAAAACCATTGATGGTGTTAGTGCTGGGCTTAAATTTAGGCTGAAGGCTGAAGCAACATTTTCTAGTGGAAGGGGGCAAGCTACGATGTGTCAAGACTCACAAACCAGTCCTGGCAAAGTCCAAGCTTCCAGGTCTTCTAAAGGCACATCATGACACAGGCACCCTAGTCAAGATACAAGCCTGAATAAATTAGCATCGCTTTATGCTGGTATCTCCAAGGATGTGGTCAAGATGCACTTGAAAAATTGCAATGTCTGTGCATTGGAGAGGATTAAACCTAAGGCCCCCTGGGGCAAACCTATTTTGACATCAGGGATGTCATCTAAAGTTGGCAAGGACTTGATCAATATATCTAGCATCCCAGACAGTAAGATAAAGTGGATTTTTCATGCAAAGGATCACCTTTCCCAGTTCACTTATGCAGTTGCCCTTCCCACAAAGGAGTGCTGAAGTGTTGTAGCTGCCATTTGCTGGATGTTCTAAATTTTGGGAGCCCTGAAACTGCTGCAGCATGACCATGGATGGGTATTTACAGGTTGAGTGGCCTTCAAACATTTTTTTGCAAAGTTGAGATCGTCAGAGGATTCACCTTGGCGCATTTCCTCACAAGTGTTGAGGTGAAATCCCTGCTTATTACTGAGTTCCCTGTTGCAAGGTCAGCCATGTATACAGCATGACATTCACAAATGAATTGTCTAATTGAATGTGCAAACGGAGTTCTGGAGGAGAGAATCTGTGTGTGGAAGCTTGAAACTGGCAGGATGGACTGGTCCTACACTCTGGACAAACTTGTAGTGCAAGGAAACAACGAGTATACCAGAATAATGAAGACCACACCATTCAAGATGTTCTTCACCAAGGACCCATATTCAAAGCCTGAAGAAGTGCTGAGTTAAGTTGATGACCTTGCTGAGGGATTGGAAGTCAATTAGAATGGAACATTTTGGAGATTTCTGCTTATATTTTGGGAACTTTAGCTCTTACAATGAGATGTCTCAATCTTTCAGGTTGATTTTTTATTAGATAATGGGCTTCAGTTGCTTCCCCCAGGGTGCAGAGCTGATTATAGCACCAGGCAATGTTTCTACTCTAACTGATGATGTTGCTTCTAGATTATCTGATTATGGGAATTTGAAGCGAAAGGAGGAAAACCCAATTGAGTTCATATTGATCCAGTAGTCTTCACACTGCGGTGAAAGCATCCCAGATTCACTTACAAGTCTATTTTGGAGTATTTGAGGTTGAAAACTGAAATTTTGTAACCTCTTCACTTCACAGTGTGCCCTAGCAAGATGAATCTCAATTACTCATCTACAATCAAGTCTCTAACTGCAAACCCAAGCAGAGAACCCAATATTAACCAAGAAACACTTGAAGCCATCAGCCATCACCCTCCACAAACCTGCTCCATATCTTCTCTACAACCATAATATTACAGGCTACAAACCTCAGGTGATTGCTATTGTGTAAAAAGAGTTTGTGACACCATCCATGGGTGGGTGCTGAACAGTGATTAAGGTATATTTGAGGTAATCAATGTTATCCATGAATCTTTTGTCAGCCCAGATAGTGAGCCCTTGGAACCAGGCATTTTCTGTCCTGGAAAATGAAGAAGACCACACATGATCAAAGAAATTCTGTAGGTGTAGTAAGGTCTCATAGCCAGAGTTTCATGTCCTATGTAAAGGATTGCAAGGCACAGAATAGTATAACCGAAGCAAGTTGTGGGTAGATCAGTCAGTGTTCATGACCATGTACTACTGTGCATCCCAAGAACAGACAGAAGTAATACTTGTCCCAGGAACCTGCAGGCAAAAGTGGTAAGGCAAGAAGACAGCAAGGTGTTTTTGGGGACTCCCGCTGGCATAATTGACTCACCCTTCCTACCAGAACAGTTAGTAAAGGCAAATGATGAGCAAGTTGTGGGGGTGGACAGTGCCCTTGACAAAGGCTTTGAGGGCAGAAACAAGCAACACCAGTAGGGGTGCTGGATCCATCTGCATGAGCAAGAAGTCTTGCCACACCAACATGTACAGGTGTAAAAAACTAGGCATAACATGCTCATCCAAGTGTTATGGGGAAAAGTTCTGCAACCTCCCAAAATAAGACAGGTACATTGTTAATTGACTCTGCTTTGAATCTTACTGATGTTGATTTTTTTCATACAATACATGGATTGAAATGAAATTCCGTTTCCACTGAGTGCCTTGATGATTCTCTTTCTCCCTAGGGATAAAGAAAATGATGGAAGCATTGACAGCTAATCCAGGTGATTTGGAATTCACCTAGGGAGAGGTGAGATAATGGAGGATTTCAAGGAACCCACAGGTTTAGTGAAATTCTGTCTCTCCCAATGAATATTTGAAATCCCCTGAATTCTACAAAACCCTACAACACATATATGAGCATGTTTCCAACTGATTCTCAAATTTTCATCCAAATTTTTTTGGCCTAAGCAATACTATCAGTAATTATTGAAAAGAAGTTAGGCATTAGGAACAAACAAGAGCTCCTGCTGGTAGTGGAGTGGAGGATACACTCAGGCATTGTTTCTCCTGTTCATCAAGACCGCATCAAACTCCTCTTCCATTTACAATCATTCATTGAGCTGGTCATCTTTGAAGATGGATTTCATTCCATATGAATAGCAGATGAATAAATTGATATCAATATCTGGAGATTTTTCACAAACTTCATTCAAAATTTCTCTTGGTTTACATCAACTTGAATCTCCAAGGTATGACAAAAAAGACTAATGACTTCAAGTTTTGTGAGATGACTAAAGCCATCTTATGATGGCTTTAGTCATCTCACAAATTGGGCTGCAGATGGAACATACCTTCGTTCATTTGAAAGTCAACTAGGCTGCCAAAATCCATTGCTTCAAATCAAAGTTATAAATGATATTCTATGACAAATCTGACTTTTGATGTGGACAATTCCTTCAGAATATGAAGGGAAATTTTTAGTAACTTTGAGAAAACTCTCTGGATTGATACTCATCACTGGTTCATCTGCCAAGGAGAATCTTATCTTTTCATGGAAAATAAGCTCATGAAAACCATCTGCAAGAGACAACCAGCCCAAAGAATGAATTTAAATGGAGAAAGAGTTTTTCGTGGTCTACATGATCAGGAGGTACAGCACAAGTATTTCTTCCACTCCACTACCAGAAGGAGCTCTTGTCCATCATCAATGTCTTACTACTTTTCAATAATTACTGATGGTATTGCTTTTGCCCAACAACAAATTCAGATAAAAATTTGAGAATCAGTTGGAAATTTGAGAATCAGTTTCACTTTTTATACATGTTCATGTATAAATAGTGAAAGTTTCATGAAAATAACTACATGAGGAACTGAGATATTAAGGTTAAAAGTCATCAGTCTACTTTTTTGCTATACACTGTACACTGTTACTCGTTATACCACCACCCTCGCTTATCACCACTCCTTCCTCGCAACCAATCTTCATTAGCCTATAATAGATGATTCCCTGTTAGCATCACCCTCACAAGCTGCCATATGCTAATACCATATGTACAATACATGCTTGACATGACTCAGCCTTGGCATGAATAGTACGAAGAACAAGGGCAAAGCAACAAACTGGATATGTGATGATATAAGCTTCACATCCATTCAGTCAAGTTTTCCTTCAGAGATTTCCATATCAAAGCCACAAGCATACTGCAGTTCATTGGATATGATGCCACCTGCATTATGCTGGCAAAATTGACAAAAACTGATAGTGAAATGATAAACACAGCATTGATGCAATAGCAAATTACATATTAATTGATGAATAAGAGGTGTGAGTGACAGAAAGAAGAATGGAAACTTCCTCAGAGAAAAATGTAGCACCTTGTAGAATGTTCAGAAAGATCTGGAGTCTATTCTGTGCTGCAGCATTATACAGGGAGCCTGTAGCCAATATAGACAAGATATAAAAGGAAAAAAAAGCATTTGTTTCTTGCTCTATCACACCCCACATTGAAATTTCTTCTGTTATTTTGACACATCTTTCCTTCCTTCATTTCACTCTTTTTCCAGTCAGTGGAATCTAATCATCATAAGGGTGCACCCAAAAATGTTTGCTTTAGCACTTTTATTCTCAGTCTACAAATACAAATGCCTTGCAAAGGCCAATAGAACCCATCATTCCAATGACCAGTGGTGTAGCATTGGGGTGGAGGGCAGAGGGTTACTGGTGCTCTCATTGTGGCCAAAATGGCTGTGAACATTTTGTTGCAGGCATAAAGTCACTTGCATCTTTGGCCAAAGTACAGTTTCACTGCAGACACAGATCATCACACTTACCTCATCAAGAGGGCATTCCAGGGCAGGATGATACTGTATGGTGACATCTCAACTCAAGCCATTAGATTCCCTAGTTGAGAGTTCTAAAATGCACCTGTCATCAACCACAGCTCATGAATTAGAAAAGAAGTCATAAGTCAACATTGGGAGCTACTCTTTTGTGCAAGCCACACCATATTACCTTTATGGCTAAGTAGCTCACATAGGTATGCTATCTCATAGTCACTATGCCTCTCTATGATGAAAAGTTGCCCTTCCTAGTGCATTTTCCATCCCTGTAGATCAATGTTTCTCAATCAGGGGTTCATCAAGCAGTATGAAAAACCATGTCCTGGTCAAAAAATTAATAATGGACAAAATGGAAACTTAAATTCAGAAAGGAGTGCACATTCAGCGAACATTTCCATGCTTTCCTTAAAATTCATTTTATGAGCTTAAAAATTTTTGCAATAAAAAAGGGAGTCAATGCAAGTCCTCTCTATACTGAAATTGGTCTGCAAGTTAAAAAAAAAAGATTGAGAACCACTGCTGCAGGCAATTTGACCCTTCTTATTCGTGAAGACTCTAATTTGCATATGAACAGTAAAGCTAAAGGAAATGCTAATAACAACAGAGAAATATTCCCTCCTCAAATGATAAGAATCAGGAATTCTAGTTCCCCATGGCTTCCTGTGAAATTTTTCACCTTGCTCATTTCTATATCTACAAGCTAGTGCCTTTCCTGTATACTGTATGTGCAATGATCTGTGTCTGCAACAAAATAGTGTAACAATGAAATGGGCTTGCAATATTTTGCCTACAACAAATTTAGGCTACAATGAAAGAGCTGGTCATGGGCCACAGGGAGGCACAAACTTAAAAATAAATAAAAAGTGAAGGAGGATGGAAAAGACCCAAAATGCAAGAGAAAAGGATCCCAGAGTTCCTGCATCCCCACTTTTTCCACCTTCACTATGCCTATCCCATTGACCATGTATAAAGACAGTCCCAATTGGAATCAATATTCTACATTACCTTTGTAGTACTTGAGTGAGGCCATGGGATTAAAATGTACAGGGTGGTTAAAAAAAAACACTACCATTTCCTATGGGAGAAACACAATTTCATAAATGTAGCAAAAAAAATTACATTGGATACATAATCCATATTTGACAGTTACAAGGCATTGAAATGCTTGCCAGCTTTATTTCAGCACCCCTGCCTAAGTTGTGCAATGCCCATTCAGAATTCAATGAATTTTTCAATTATAACTTTTTAAGGGACAGTTAGATCCAACCGATATTTGACAGAGAGGTTCATGAGTCTAAGTGGTTTTTTTCATATCCACAAGATGGTGCTGTATCCCGATAGAGGGTGCTGTTGTTGACCAGGTGACTGAGGGTGATTTAAAAAAAAGGTTCAATGCTCCACCTGTACACTGTGTAACAGGACAATACATGGCTTAGAGAATTACTCAGAAAAAAAAAAAACAAGACAATCTTTTCAACACCTCCTACATGTCCAATATCAAGAGTTTATGAATCTCATATTTTTTACTCGAATATACGGATCATACTTTCTCCCCTTTGAAGACAGTGGAGCCTTTGTTAATCACCCTCAGTCACCTGGTCAACAACAGTGCCATCTTGCAGGAGTGAAGAAAAACCTTTGACTTATGAATCTCTCTGTCAAGTATCGGCTGGATCCAACTGTCCCTTGAAAAGTTATAATTGAAAAATTCATTGAATTCTGAATGGGCATTGCACAACTTAGGCAGAGGTGCTGAAAAAAAGCTGGCAAGCAATTCAATGCCTTGTAACTGTCAAATATGGATCACGTATCCAATGCATCAATGCCTTGCTATGCATAAATAATGGCTTGGCCAACAATAGTGATCAGTAGCCATTGTGGAACATTTTCTTTTCTATGATGAATGATATATTACTTGTGAAACTTGGAATGGTCTAGCAACAAAAAGCTACTTTTGACTCCATCAACTGAATTTTGCAAATTATATTCCAGTTTTCAGATTCATTGGTGTTTTAACATGTTCACACGCACAGGTCATAGGGTTTCAGGAATATCTAATTAGAAAGATGTTACTGTTTCTGCTTTTTCAATAAAAACTTTCCTTACCCATAGACACAACTGAAGACAGGCACTACCAATCATATTGTTCAACCATCATCAGTTAATATAGGGATTTGGTTCACCCAAAGCATGCAAAAAAATACTGAGAAGTTCCTTTGAGGAGTTGAAATACACTTGTACCTTCTTTGGCCCTCCTCCTCTTTGAAAAAATAGATGATGACAAGGCGTTTCCCATGGACTTTGATTTGATGGAGTTGTAATAGGGCCAGCTCTGCCTCCTCAGCACTTGAGAACCTGAAATATTTACATTTGATTCAAAGATAACAAGATGCAGATCAGAGAGACTAAAACAGGCTGCAAGAAGGAGAGAGGAGATGAGAACCTTGCAAGGGCAGCATTCTTCATGGGTCCCTGAGAAGCAAAGCACTGGACATCCTTGGCACCAAATCTTTTCAGGAATATCTCCCTCTCATGCTCAGTGAATGCAGATGGCAAATGCTTCACTAGCAATGTGTCACACATTTTCACCTTTGCCTTACTTTTTCATCTCCTCTGCATGCCATACACATCACTAATTCATAATGCAAGCAACCAGATAAGCTTGTATTTGATTCCATTTAACCAGAAAAAACTTCAGGCAGACAAGGGTACTGCCTTTTTAAAAATATTTTCTTCTTAACTTCCGATCCCGATGCTTCAGCAATCCAGTGATCCCCAGTGAGGTTTTTTTTTTTTAAATAATAAACAAATGCATGAATTGGACCAATAAAAATGCATAAGATGGAAGAAGGATAACAACTTATTTTTTAAATTTGAGAAACTGCTAGAAGCATCAGTACAAAAAAAGGCATGTGGGGTCAAAAAATACCCCACATCAGGATCAGAAGGCTAAAGACAGGACAAGTGACTGACAGAAATGACATCAGACATGTTACAGAACACAGAGGAAGGGGGTGCCTGTTTGGCACAGGCATGACATCCAAGGGACAGTCCCTCTGGCAGGGACACCTGTCCATGGTCCTATAGAAGGCCTAAGGGGCAGCTCATGGCTTGCCTAAGCATGTGACTGGCACGAGTGATTTTCAAGGTGTACTGCACCCCAATCTCCTCGACATAACACACAAAGTGGCAAGTGTGTTATCTCACACTAAGCAGACACTACCCATGAAAGCATGAGGGGTGCCTGTCAGCAGAGAAAGTGCCTGCTGCCAATCATTCTCAATCCCTTGTCTTTCAGGTTTCACTCAGAAGCCAGAATCACTCAGCCACTGAATCCCAGTGCACACTGCCTCTTTACTCATCAAATCCTGGGCCAAAAGACTATTTCACTGGTATGAAAAAATTATTGACAGTAACATTGATAACAGCATTATCATACCCCAACTATACTCAGCATTAAAATATGCGCAGTGCAGGAAGTGTAGTGTATTGTTGAAAACTATCTGGTTTTTTTTAGCCCACCCTGTATATACAGGGTGGGCCAAAAACCTGGATACCATTTGCCATACCATATTTACAGGGACCCACCCTGTATATAGGGTATGGCAAATAAAAGCACTTGTGCTGTACCTCCTGATCATGAATACCACATCAAACTCTTTGTTTAAATTCATTCTTTGGTCTGGTTGTTTCTTGCAGATGGTTTTCTTGAGCTTATTCCCAAAGAATAACAGGTAAAATAGTGATGAATATCAATCTAGTGAGTTTTCTCAAAGTTGTTTAAAATTTCCCTTAATATTCTGAGGGAACTATCCACTTCAAATGCCAGACTTGTCATAGAATACCATTTAAAACATTAATTTAGAGTAATGGATTTTGGCAGCCTAGTTGACTTTCAAATAAATGAAGGTATGCTTCATCCACTGAACATTTTGTGGGATATGACTAAAGCCTTCATCAGATAAGCTTGAAGTCAGTCTTTTTTTGTCATACCTTACAGACTCAAGTTGATGTAAATCATGAGAAATTTTGAATGAAGTATGTGAAAAATCTCTGAATCTTTATATTGATTTATTCATCTGCTATTTATTTGGAATGAAATCCATCTACAAAAGAAAACCAGCCCATAGAATGAGTTTAAATGGAAGAGGAGTTTCATGTTATCTTGATGACCAGGAGGGACAACACTTGAGTGTATCCTCCACTCCACTACCAGCTGGAGCTCATGTTTTTTCCCAATTTCTTAACTTCTTTTCGGTAATTTCTGATAGTATTGCTTTTGCCCAATAAATTTGGATGAAATTTTGAGAATCAGTTTGAAATATACTATTATATGCAGAGTGAAAGTTAAGCAAAAGCTAAAGCTGCATTGTGAGTGGGGATGTTTTGGTTAAAAGTCAATGGTGATTTTTTTTTGCCATACCCCGTACATTCCATCCTTGCTGCTGTCTTGGATGATTGATGACCTGCATGGCTGGATTACTTATATACCCAATTCTTTGAAAGTTTCATGAAGGGTTCAATTTCTGCCACCTTGGACCCTGCATGTTTCTGGTTTCTTCTGAGGGATGGCATGGTCAATATTTTTTCTTGCCTTACAGGAGAGGACATTTTACACATGTCATCATAGATGAAGCAGGACAGGCAATGGAACCAGAAGCCCTAATTCCTATTGGATTGGTCTCACCAGAGAATGGCCAGATCATATTGGCTGGGGATCCACTTCAATTGGGTCCTGTTCTCACTTCATCTTATGCCAAGACATATGGCCTGGGATTGTCTCTTCTGGAGCGCCTCTGCGCCCGTGTCCCATACTCCCGTAATGAGGTGAGTCCACAGCTGATGTACACTTACATAAAGGAATGTTGATGGAATTCACTTTTGTTGGATGCAGATTAGGTTCCAGGACCATGGGTCGTATGATCCCCTGCTTGTGACAAAGCTTGTGAAGAACTATCGATCTCATGATGCCATTTTGAACTTTTACTCAAGTGCTTTCTATGCTGGAGAATTAGAAGTAGAGGCTGACAGAAATATACGAGAATCTCTCTGTCATCTTCCATTCCTCCCTTGTCCTGGAATTCCAATAATTTTCCATGGAGTTCATGGAGAGAATCTCCAAGAAGAAGCTAGCCCATCCTGGTTCAATCCTGCTGAAGTTTTTCAAGTTATCAGGTAATTACCAAACCTCATTTCAGGCACTTGAAATGTGTCTGTTACATGTCCAACTTCTTGAAGAATCCAATCTCATGTGCCTTGTAGTGCTAGAGATACAGCATGTTCAGGAGTTGATTTGATTTGGTATGCAATTTACACCTTATCAATGAGATGATATTGCAAATCTTAAATATCTGTTTGTCCATGAAATTTATAATGTTGCATAGTATGCTAAAAATAAAGAAGCATTTCTCCTTTACCTCTTGAGAATGAGAAAATATTTGGTCTGTTTTTATCCTGCACTCAAAATCAATGGAATATTACTTCCTGTTATTGCTTGATTGGCTCCTAGTTCTCCATTAGTATTTTGAACCAAGTTTCTCATGTGTGGGGAATTTTTTTAGTCTGAAAAACTTGGTCCTGTTACTCCATGTTACTAAACAACAATTACAACTCCTTGTAGTCCTGTTACTAAACCATGCTACTCCTACCATTATCATGCTCAATAACCAAGGCTAAGATGACAGGATTGAATTATGCTTGAGGCTTGTAGCACCATTGAAGTGTATTATCTTTTTGGTAGAAACTGCAATGATGTTCACCTTGGTCTGTCAGACAGCAGCCTCATGAGGGAGGATGCTGATCAACATGTAAAGTTAGACATACTATGGGAGGTAGTAAACACTGAATTCAAATGAGTAGATCTTTATAACCACCCTGAAAATTAGAGATGCAACAATATTTTATCAGTTATTGGTATCTGCTGATATTGGGTGAATCCAATATATTGGCCCAGAACGATATATGACCTGCCAATAACCAATATTGAAATTGCACCTGAAGTATGCCAAATGCTAAGTATATGAAGCTAATGATGAATATTCTCTCATTTTTGTTTTTCACTTGAGTTAGACAACATTTCACTTGACTCAAACTCATTCATGGGACGTTTCTCATGCATGAGTGTCGAAGTCAAGTGAAAAACATTGCAGAAGGTTGAAAATGCCTAAATTACATGTTTTCATTAAAAAAAAATAAGGCTGCTGAAAATGTAATCATTTTTAGCATTTTTCCCCTTTGGACTGGGAGTGGTTGCAAGGCACTGAAGCTTCCCCCCTATTTGACAGTCAGTGTCTCCCACTGACAACTTGTGACCTGTTGCAAGCATATGAAGTAGGCATAATTGACTGTGATAGAGGTCCAAAATTATTTTGCATTTGGTTTAACCACCATGATAATCTAGGGATATGCCACCTGGATTCAACCTTCACTGCCGCAGTTCCTCCGTCCCATATCTAGAGATGGGAGTGCTCTGTGCTTGGGTACTCCCTTTCCAAACACGCTGGCACTGGCGCTTGAACTAGGAAATACACACTTGACTTGGCAAGCCAAGGTTGGACTGGGGTTCAAGCCCAGGCCACCCTGTCTTGGGACATAAGCTCATTACCCAGTCATCCAACAGAGAGATGGGAAGCATCATAATTTGGCCCAATGCCACAGTCATAGCCTACTCAGTGCTTTCTGTGAAAATAGATATAGCTCGTGTTCACGCGAAGAACCCAGGCCTAGATGGATCCCAAAACTTGGGTACAAAAATCACTAGAAAATAGTCTGATTTCTACTCTTTCATGCCCACAGGTTCCATTTGGAACCACCGATTTTCAAGAATTTTATCATCTTTATATTCATGTTAGGACTGAGCCAATGGCGACATTTGACTGGTAGACTGATGGTGCATTTTGAATTCATACCCATCGACCAGTGCTAGAGCTAGTGCCAATTATGGTCTATACTCTATTGATTGAGAAAGTAACATGAAATCATATACGAATTCAAATAGGCCTATTTGGAAGCCTTGTGATACGTATCAATGAGTCTCCTAAAAACAATAGAGACCACTTTCAGACCCTTCTAGCCTGTCTGTCTGTGACCGTCAGTGATTAGCTGGTTACCTATTGCTGATGAGCGCTTAATGGCACCACTCGTAAATGCACAGCATAAAAGGAGGTGCAATGATTTCACAGTCTTTACCCATATTTTCCTCCACCAGTTCCTACAATCAGTCTGAAATACAGTAAGTCCTTGATTTACAATGTTTCATCAGAACAACGCAACATATATGGGGTATATGTTAGCAATGTTATATCAAAATGACATAAGTTAAATCAAGGACTCCCTGTATAATCTGATCTATATTTTTTTCTGGGAGAGGACGGCTGGGGAGGCTTTCAGCGAGAGAGGAGAGCCGGCGCCAAGCTGCGTTCACACACTCATGTAGTTTTTTTTTTTCATTTTGCCCTCCTTCAGGCTTTGGCATCGACAGCTTCCAACCCTACCGATGGCCATGGTGGTCAATGGTGCAACACCAGAGGACAATATCTGTGGTTGTCAATACGTTGGTGCTGCCATGATTTATTCAAAATATTTATATTGTCATAATTTATATTTAAATATCTATACCATAATGTATTACATAAATATATTTGTTGTTAAAATACTACTGTAGTATAATAAATATGATTAATTGCCTTAGAAATTTTCCAGAAAAGCAGTTGTTTGCATTTCATCTGCATGG